TTTTATTTATGTTTTACAAAAGGACCCACTTTGCCAACCTAGCTAGAGGTATGAGCCTGGCCTGGCCACCATTTGTGGAGTGTTTCAAGGGAGTTACATTTTAGATTTTCTTTTTTTTTTTTAAACTTTTATTAAAGGTATATGCATATGTATTTTTAAGCTCCTTTTATTTAAAGATTTATTTATTTATTCAAAAGTCAGGGTTACACAGAGAGAGGAGAGGCAGAGAGAGAGAGAGAGGGGTCTTCCATCCGATGGTTCACTCTCCAATTGGCCGCAACGGCCACAGCTGTGCTGATCCAAAGCCAGGAGCCAGGAGCTTCCTCTGGGTCTCCCATGCAGGGCAGGGGCCCAAGGACTTAGGTCATCTTCTACTGTTTTCCCAGGTCATAGCAGAGAGCTGGATTGGAAGAGGGGCAGCCGGGTCTCAAACCGGTGCCCAAAAGGGATGCTGGCGCTTCAGGCCAGGGCGTTAACCTGGTATGCCACAGCGCTGGCCCCACATTTTAGATTTTCATGGAGTGTTGATCCTAAACTCTTTGGCAGGACAAGAAGCAGGGGAAGGAAAGAACAGATTAGAGTTTAAGGTCATTTCCAAAACAAATACATTGCGTTTGATTACTTGGTTATGTATTTGCAGACATTCTCCTCAATGAAATGCCGGTGGTAGCAACAAAATTAGTCTACCTTGGTAGGATATCTGTTGTCAAACATTGCCCATTGTTTTTCCAGAAGTACAGGAAAATTGATGTATCAGCTTCATTTCTATACTGCTGGGAAATAAAATCGTTTTAGGCTATGGAATAGTAACTTCATTGCTATTCACGCTAAGTCCATGAACTTGCACACAGGTGATTTTCAGAGACCTAGGCATTTGCTTCTCTGGGTTTAAGAAGTTGCTGCGTAGAGCAGACATTTGGTCCAGTGGGGAGGACTCCACCTGAGATACTCACATCCGGAATTACACTGCCTGATTCGAGTCCGAGCTCTGCTCCTAATTCCATCATTCTGCTAATGCGAACCCTTGGAGGCAGCAGGTGATGGCTCAAATACTTGGGACCCTCTCACCACCATGGGTTACCCAGATGGAGTTCCTGACTCCTGGCTTTGGCCTGACCCAGCTCTTGCTGTTGTGGACATTTGGGGAGTGAACCAGTAGATGGAAGATCACTCTCTTTCAAATAAAATAAATTTTAAAGATAATATTTTAGGCTTTATCTTACTGGGGCATTACTGGTCCTGGTTTCTACTCTCTGCTGATTTAGAAATTTGATTTTCCCAGAAGTCAGACTTGAATTTGTCACACTAGCCAAAAATACAAGCATTATTTGTAAACAGCAATATTTATCTTTTACACATTTATTGCACAACTAAGTGTATGTCCCTGTCCTAATCTCTAGGGAAACACAAATGTATCATTCCTGCCCTTTAGAAGCTTATGGTCCAAAAGTAGGACAGACATGTAAATAAAAATGTTATGTGCAGTGGGCTAAGGGTCTAGGGACATTCTTACATTCGGCCTGAGACAGTCCTGGTATAACTATTGTTAACTGCCTGTTGTCCTGGTGTGACCATCAACAGTGCTCCCTTCCACTAACCAAACCTTCTAAATGCCAAGGTGACTGGGGTACAGAAATGACAGAAAGGAGGGAGACACTTGGGCTGGATGAGGTAGCCAAGGACTGGGTAGCCAAGGACTGAGAACCTGGAGTGGGGTTGGGGAGAGATTGTTTCCGGGAATGGGCGGGACTCTGCAGGCAAATGTATTATTGTTCCGGAAGCAGCAATTTGTTGGTTCAAGCTAGGCATTGTTTCCCAAATTTACCTTGCAACGATTTCCCAGGGCCTTTGGTCACACAGATTCGGAGATCCTGGTGCTCCCCACCAGATGCTTCCTGGGCATATTCAAGGTTCAGAGCCAATCCTTCACTGATCGTGGCTAGGAAAGCAAACAGACGCGCACGGAGGGGTACAGGAAGGGCAATATTAGAGCACAGGTCACAGGTCAGCCAGGCAAGGGGAGCCCAGGTATGAAAACCCTCAGATGTAAAAACCAGTTGGGAGACCTTCACCCGGTAGACCTATGAAAAATGGGGCGTGCAGGCGTCACAGCAGGGGTGCAGAGGAATGAAAATACTCCAGAACTATTGAGCAGGAAGAATGAACAGGACCTAGGGTATGCCAGTTACTGATTCACACGGCGTAATAATATTTCCAGGCAGTGGAACACGTGTCAAATCCAGGAACATGGGGGACCACGAATCTGGAGGTTTGCTTGGTTAGCAAAAACCTACAAGCAGCCAGATAATGTGGTATGTTTCATGTGGGCCTAAGAAAGGGACTGCAGCCTACTAGTTAATGTTCTTGGCAGTCCCTAGAACACTCGTGAGGGCTGTGTTTATCTCTGGGCAGAAACTGGAATGCATTCCAAAGCACTCCCAAACTCTCGCCTTTTCTTCCTTTTTTCTAAGACTTCAGGCAAACCGCCTGCCTTTCCATCAGGGCAAGACTACCTGCCAAGCCCTGTATTATTTTTGCTTATGTTTTTGTTATCAAATGTGTAAGACAGTCATGACTCAGCCGTATTGCAAATTTCAGTGTGGCCTTCTCCCCAAATTTCGGAGAGGGCTCTCTCCAGGGACATCTGCCGTCACCCCAGATTCGCCCCCAACTCAGGAAAGCGATAAAACGGTGCCTACAACAAACACCTTATCCAGGTAGGAGGGCGACGGGCTCGCTTGGAAGAGGATAGACGGCCGGCGCTGAGCACACCCTCCAAATGGAAAACGAATGAAATCTGCTCTCCCCCGTTGCCTTCCAACACGGAGATGTTTTATTTTGAAGGCTGCCATCCGTCCTCAGGCCTGCTTGGCTTCAAACTACCGAAGCAGCAGTCAGCCAGCAACGGAAGCTTTGGAAGTTATCAGAAGGAAGCCTTAGCTAGGAGATCGGACACCCGACGGGGCTGATTTCACAGGGTCATTTAGCAGCCCTCTCCCAACACCGGCCGCTTCGGGGACTCCACGCCTGCGGGCGGGGGGTGCGGCATCTTAAATTCCAGTCCTGGGCTGAGGATGTCCACACCCTGGGAGTGACAGGGATGGAGACGACCAGGCTGAACTCGTCCACGCCGTCTGTGTCAGGGAAGGGAAAACCGCCATCCGCCGCCGCCTCCAAGTTTTATTTTTATTTTTTTTCTTCTGAAGGGGTGCAACTTCTGTGCGGTACATATCGCCATTAAGTCCCAGTAGCCACCCAGAAACATAAAAAGGGAAGGCGGAAGAGCGCAGCGCTCACGGACTCGGAAAAGGGATCTCCAAGTGGTTCCGGACCAGGCCCGAGCAGCTCTGGGGGCGCCGGGGTCGTCAGCCCGCCGGCCGGAGGCGCCCGCCGGGAAGCCCCCATCCCGCAGTCGGGGCGCAACCAGCGCGGCGCCGCGGCGGGGGGGGATCCGGCCGACGCGCCGCAGACTTCAAAGGCCCGGCTCCGCCGCCGCCGCCCCCGCCCGCGCGCGCGAGTAGTACGGTCCGAGGGGGCGGCTCCTGGGGCGCGGCTCCCGCGGCAGCTGATGCGCGCCCGGCCGGCCGAGGGGCGGGCGCCTGAGACCCCCGGAGACCTCGAGCCGCCGGGCGCCGCGGGCCGGGGCCCTGAGGAGGCCACCCCCTCGCGAGAGACACCTTCACGGGCGGACGAGCCTGGCGCGGAGGGCGCCGCGGCCGCAGCCGTGGTGGGACGAGGACGAAGAGGAAGCGGGCAGCCTGCCGGCAGGGAGGAAGCGCTCCACCCGGGCCCCGACGGCGCTCGTTTAACCACATCCGCGCCTCCGCTGGAAGCGCTCACAGCCGCCTGTCACCGGTTCCCTCCATTTTGAAAGGGAAAGAAGGCTCTCCCCCCATCCTCCTACTACCCGTAGGAACCGGAGCCGGAGGAGCCGCGCTCATGGCGTTCAGCCCGTGGCAGATCCTGTCCCCCGTGCAGTGGGCGAAGTGGACGTGGTCCGCGGTGCGCGGCGGGGGCGCCGGCGAGGACGAGGCCGGAGGGCCCGAGGGCGACCCCGAGGAGGAGGACTCGCAAGCCGAGACCAAATCCTTGAGTTTCAGGCAAGTACACAGCATCCCCGCCGAGACGCACCCGTGCCGCTGCTGCCTCCATCCGCGCCTCATTCCCGCCTGCCTGTGTGTGGTCGCCCACCCGCGGTAACAGTGTCTGTGGCGATGCTGCCTCCCTGCCCGTACCCGGCTCCCGCGGCGCGATCGAAAGTTCGGGATGTTCTGTCTTCGCCTGTGTTCTCTTTCCCCCTCCGTTTCGCTGTGAGCGAAATCTGCAGTCTCTCCGCATCGGCGTTCGCCTCGGTCACTTTCTCTCTGAGCTTCGATGTCCCGGCCCACCCCCACCCCCACCCCCCGAGACACGCACAGGTCACCCCGGCTGGAATTTAGAGCCCTCCCCGTGGGGAAGAAGGCGCCCCCCGGGCCCCCTCCATGCGAGCTGTGTGTGGAAGGTCGCGCGATGACAGGCCCCTGGCAGCTGGGAGACATGGTGGGCTCCGATGAGCTGTCACCGAGTGATTGCAAAAGGCAGGTGACAGCCTTCTTAGCGCAGGGAGTTCCACACAGGTAGAGAGGTCGGCCGAGGAATCAAGGCATGGCTACCACCGGCTTAATCTGGGAGCGGGAGTGATTCGGATTTTTACGCCTCTGGGAAGGGGCTCTTGTGAGAAAGGGAGTCGGTTGGAAAGCTCCTTTTTCGGGTGTCAGGGAAAGAGGACCTCACAGATGCGTGGCGCTCGAGACAAGCTCCATGGGGGAGGCCAGAGCGAGAAACCCAAGGAGGGCACTGCCGAAAACCCGCAGCGGCCTCCCGCAGGCCCATCTGTGCTGAGGATCAGCTGGCTCTAAAGTTAGACATGCCGGACGTTAGCCTTTGTGGAGAGGTGGCTTTTTAAAGGGTGTCGGAAATACCGTTGAAAGTGGTAATTCCTCATTTTTCCCCCTTGGCAGCTCGGATTCTGAAGGTAATTTTGAGACCCCTGAAGCCGAAACGCCAATCAAATCGCCCCTCAAGGAGTCCTGTGATTCATCATCAGAATTGGCAGGACCTGGGGCCAGAACCCAAGGTAAAGAAAAACTTTGATTTTTTTTTCTGCCTCTTGTGTTTTACATTTTTGAAAAAAATGTAAAGGAAGGAAGGAAAGAAGTGTTGACTTCAGACCTTTTGTAAGGGTGTGGGTTGTCTCCTTACTCAGATAGAGCTGTTTCCCAGCTCCTGGCTTGATTGTAAAAGGTTTTCGTTTTTGTTTCTTTTAAGGAATGTGGCGATCAGAGGTTTTCTTCTCTGAGTAGGGTAGGTGCATTTGCAATACATTAGCATTAATGATGGTTTTTGGACCTTTTCCTCAAACCCTAAACAGTAAAAAACGTCTGTGTCATGCAGTGGTGAAGTTAGGTTTAGATCTGGCTTTACCAACTGCTCAGACAAAACCGCTTTCTACTGGGGTGTGGCTAGAGACCAAAATTATAGGTAAGAGTTCGTTTTCATAAAAATCTTGTGAGGCTGTTTCAAAATGGCTTACCTTTCCCTTTTCCACAGAGGGACAGTGGTCAGCCCCTTCAGCCTACCTGGAAAATCTGACGTGTACTCTCTCATGACCCCCTCAGAACCCTTCATCTACAACAGTTTCCGCTGTCCCATTTAATGAGTAGAAACCTTTTTTGGCTACCCAGGCAGTTTTGTGTAAAATTTCACCTGACCTGATAGAATTCGTTCATTCAGTAGAGCCCTGATCTCACCGAGCTAACATTATGGAAGGGGATGAGCCCAGTAAGGGCTAAGCGAAACGAATCCTTGTTTGTCAGATTGTGTTAAGGTGAAGCAGGGCTGGGGAGAGCAGGGAATATGGGGTGGGGCAGGAGATGCTGAGGGCAGTTAGGGGAACATCACAGATAAGGTGACTTAAATGGAGGCCTGAAGGAAGATTGAGGAAGCAAGACCTGTAGATCCCAGGGTAAAGGATCTTTTCTGCAGAGAATGGCACCCGCAAGGGTCTGACATGAGCAGTGTGTGGTGGCTGAGGCCTTGTGTTGAGAACCAGCAGGGAGGCCAGTGCAGTGGCTGGTGTGGCAGGCAGTGACGGTCATGGTGGTGGTGGCGGTGGTGGGGCGGGGGAACGGTAGGAGCTGAAGTCACAAAGGTGAGAGGAGATCCAGATCACATTGTCACGACAATTCGGTTTTCTTTCTGAGTAACACTGAAAGCCATTGGAAGGTGTATTGACTTACTAGGGCTGCCATAACAAAGTTCCTCAACCTGAGAGGCTTACAACACCAGAAATTTATTCTCATGATTCTGGAGAACTGAAATCAGAACTAGAAGCAAGGTATTGGCAGGACCATCTTCCCTCCAAAGGATCCTGGGAGAATCCTTCTTGCCCCTTCTAGCTTCTGGGAGTTGTTGACAGTCTCTGGCCTGTGGTGACCTACCTGCGATTTCAGCCTTGGCCCATGACAGTCTTCTCTGACTGTGTGTCAATGTCTTCCTGTGACCTTTTTGGGGACTTCAATCATTACGTTTAGGGCCCACTCTAATCCAGAATGACCTCATCTTAACTTGATTACATCTCTGAAGATATTTCCAAATAAGGTCATGTTTATAGGTACCAGGAGTTAGAACTTTAACGTATTTTCTTTCTTTCCTTTTTTTTTTTTTTTAACGTGCTGGTGCTTCAGGCCAGGGCTCCAACCCACTGGGCCACAGTGCCAGCCCCAACGTATTTTCTTAAGGGACACAATTCAACCCGAAACAGAGGGCTGTGAGCAGAGAGATGATGTAAATGGCTGCTGTAGGGAGAAGAGACTCTGGGATAGATTTCTTTTTCTTGTGATTTCTCTATTCCAGTGTCTGATGCTGTTACCCTGTGGTGACAGATAGAGCCAGCTTTAAGTTATCCAGTTTCCTCCATTGTTATTTTATTTTATTGCTTAGTAACTTTTTTTTTAAAAAAGATTATTTATTTGAAAGGCAGAATTACAGAAAGGCAAAGGCAGAGAGAGAAGTCTTCCATCCGCTGGTTCATAGAGCTGGGCCAATCCAAAGCCAGGAGCCAGGAGCTTCTTCTGGGTCCCGGGTGTGGAAGCAGGACTTGGGCCATAGCAGAGAGCTGGATTGGAAGCAGAGCAGCCAGGACTCGAACCAGCGCCCATATGGGATGCTGGCACTACAGGCAGCGGCTTTACCCTCTAGTAACTTTTCCAGTCCCTAGTAACTTCTTCAGTGGTTGCCAAGAAAGTCAAACCACTGTGGTGGTAGACTGTAATGGAGCTGGTATTAGTGGTAAAATGACATCAGCTTTGTGACATTTTTTTGCTTTAGATTGAGAGCTCCATGAGTGCGTGCCCTTCTGAGAATTCAGCGGAACCCTCAACCTGGAGGTGCATTTTGCCATTGCTGCAGGGAGAGACCACATGGGAACAGACATGTTTATATTTTGGAGATCTTGTGCCTGTCATTTAGCTGCGTAGCACTCTCAGTGACAGATGCCACTTGCTCCTCATAGCTTTCCTTTTCTTCTCTCAAGGTTGGCACATCAGAAAGGAGATTTAAAGGCCTGAAAGAACTATTTTTGTGGTCCTCCCAACCAAATTTCTTTATTATTATGTTTTAAAGATATGTATATATATATATATATATATATTTGAAATGCAGAGAGAGGGAGAGACAGATCGATCTTCCATCTGCTGGTTCATTTCCCAAATTCCCTACCCAGACTGAAGCCAGGAATCAGGAATTCCATCTGAGTCTCCCACGTGGGGCCTAAGCACTTGAGCCATTATCCATTTCCTGCTAAGATGCATTTACAAGAAGCTGGATCTGAAACTGTGTAGCCAGCACTCAGATACTGGTGGGTGTCAAGCCACTGTGCCACAGTTCCCACTTCTCCCATCATATTTAAATAAAGCTCATCAGACATGTTAAGTAACTGTTTGAAAGCCTCTTTGACTTGCCCTAGACTTGGTCAACCCTTCTTCATCATTTTGTCAGCTGTTTGATTCATCTGACCAGATTCTTTACCAATTGTGAATAGAGGCCTGGATGGCCTTGGCCCCTGAAGCCACAGAGACCCAATTGTTTCGTCCATCTTGTGCCAGTGACTCTCACAATTTCCTTTTCATTCTCTCTAGGAGGAAAACTTTTGAAACATTTTCCTTTTAGAGAGTCATGGGCTCAGGAAAACCCTTCGGGGGTAGTTCATGATTGCAGACTGTAACGGGTGGGAGTAGGGGATGTAGAGGGAATGGCATACAGCCTAGGAAATGACCTTCTGTATTGTGAGATTTCTCAGTCTAGCTTCTTTAAACAGTGGGATAATTGCACACTAGCTTGGTAGTGTCCTGCCTTCCAGGACTCCTACCCCAACATCTGGAGCTAGTCCAGAGTCTTGTTAATCACCTTGTCATGGACTCAGCAAATGTGAAAACGCAGCCAAGCACAGATCTGACCAAGTCTGGTGGGCAAAAAAGCTTTAATAAGAGTCATCTCATGTCAAAATTTAATTTCAAGGGCTGGATGGTTCCTTTTCTCCTAAAATTGTTCATTATTTGGTTATGTGGTTCTGAGACATGGTTGGACAGCAATTATAGATTGTTTAAGATTGTATCTTCTGTAGGAATGACTTAATGATTTACAAGTTGTGAAGAAGTTGGAGTTACTGTGTGTAAGGATTGTTTCCTGGTATATACTAATGTCCCTCAAATGTGTGGGCTGTGTGCCATCCACTGAACCTATGGCTCCCATGTTGATTTCCAACTAATTCGTTGAACTCAAGGAAGCATCTAAGTCTGCTTTGAAATGTCTTTTCTTTTTACTGGGTCTGTTTTAGACACTTACAATGTCTGAACTCTATATTGACTCTTCCTGCGACATAGTTGTATGCCATGGATTTTTATAAAACATTTGTTTATTGAGAGACAGAGAAAGAATGGTTCACTCCCCAAATGCTGGCAAAGGCTGAGGCTAGGTCAGAGCAGAAGCCATGAGCTAGGAACTCCATCCATGTTTACAACATGAGTGGCAGGAACCCAATTAATTAAGCCATCACTGCTGCCTCCCAGAGTGTGCATTAGCGGGAAGCTGGAATCAGGAACTGGAGCAAAGCAGGCACTCCTATGTGGGACCCAGGAGGGGGTATAACGACCAGGCTTAATACCCTTGTGCCAGAAACTTAACAGTAGAGAAGGTTGTGGACTTTGTATTTATTTTTTAATACCTCAGATATAAACTGGTTTCAGCCCACCTGGTAATATAAAACTCTAGCCAAAGAGATTTCTTGAAAATATCAGACTAGTGACTTTTTTTTTTTTAAGATTTATTTCTTTATTTGAAAGTCAGAGTTGCACAGAGAGGAGAGGCAGAGAAAGAGAGGTCTTCCATCCAATGGTTCACTCCCCAATTGGCTGCAACAGCCAGAGCTGCGCTGATCCGAAGCCAGGAGCCAGGAGCCCCTTCCTGGTCTCCCACGTGGGTGCAGGGACCCAAGGACTTGGGGCATCTTCCACTGCTTTCCTAGGCCATAGCAGAGAGCTAGATTGGAAATGGAGCAGCCGGGACTTGAACTGGTGCCTACATGGGATGCCGGCACCGCAGGAAGCGGCTTTACCCGCTACGCCACAGCGTCGGCCTCTGGCTCGTGATTATTAATGTGTGGGCTAGGAGTTCTTATTTGCTGTCTGCTGGACGCCCCGCCCCATGTCGTTTTAGCCTACAAAAACTGCACTGGAGCCCTTTGCCACTTGAGCTTCACCTCCCCACTCCTCCATACACACACACCTTTATTTACCTTTTTTTTGAGAAAGAGAATCTTAATTAATGCAGAAGCTCTGTAGTTAAATTTATGCAGTTTGATATGTTAATTGGATGACTAGGTATTTCAAAGACATACTGTAATCTTCTGGGAATAGAAGGAAAGAGATAAATGGGATCAATCTATGCATATTTACTGTTGGAAGCCCTGCAGGGACTACTGTTTGTTGACACAATTTTGGTGGTCTGGATTAAGAACAGCAAGCCATGACTCCAGAGGTCAAACCTGGCCTGCCACCTGTTTTTTGTGTGGCTCCCCAG